AGAGGATTCTTGGGTGGCAGTGTTTTTCTTTCAGGGTTTTATATATATCACCCCATTGCCTTCATGCCTGCATGGTTTCTGTTAAGAAATCTGAGCTTCATCTGATTTGCTTGCCTTTGTATGTTATATTTCTCTTTTCCCTAGCAGCTTTCAAGATCCCTCAGGCTAGAAGCTCACCTCCTTTCATGGCTAAGTCCTAAGACCCTCCCCTGGAACACCCCCTCCACAACCAGCACAGGCTCCCTCCCACCCCTCAGGACTCCACCTGGAAGCATATGTTCATCCACCAGAAACTCCTTATCCTCCACCTCTGACCCCCACACTCCCCGGACCAACTGCTTCATCCTGGGCCCCTTACCTGCATTCCTCCTCCACCCACCTATCTGCTCCACAGGGCTCTGGTCACTGTCACTAAAGGGTCACTCCTCCAGTCTCCTGTTCCACTGCATGTGCCTCCCCCTCTCCACCACCGCACTATGTCCTCCTGGGCCTCCTTTTCCGCCCCACATCTAGGTAAAGAGTGTGTCCAGGGCTCCTCTCCTCGACTTCGACCCGGCAAAAGGTCCGATCCAGCGGCCAATCATTTGTCAACTGTCGCCCAAACCGCTCCATAAACCAAGACGTCCCCCAGGCCCATCCGCCCATCTCCCCGCCTGTCACCTGGATGCAGTGCACTGGCGGGACCCCCTCTCCAGACAAGGCAACCCCAATCCTACAATGGTGCTCCTCACTGGACAGGGGGCCCTCTCCTGACAAGAGGGTCCCTTACCCTACAGGGGTCAGTTTAGCCCCAGCATCTCCTGAATGAGTCGCTGTGCTAGGAGGAGGAATACTTAACTTTTCGGTGCCTTTTGGGCCGCTCAACGGGTGGCAATGACAGCACTACAACACAGAACCCGGGAGCGACTATTAGGTGCAACCCCAAACCTCCAACCCTGCACAGACGACCAGGTAGGGAGGTGAAGCCTAGGGTGAAGCTAGGAGGAAGGACTTATTCGGACTACAAGTCCCAGAGTGCGTCGCGCACCGGAAGGTCGAGGCCGGCCCCGGAAGATAAGGTAGCTCGCGGACTCTGTGTTTCCTCTTTCGGCCGCGCTCGTAAGCAGGTAGGACGTTCTTAGGCTGCTGCGGACCCAGTTCCATCCGCCGCCATCCGTCGCCCTGGGAGTTTGGGGGCCTCTTGACACTCTTCCTATGGAGGCACTGGGGCTTAGTGGCCTGGCTGGAGCAGCAGGGCGGACCAGGACGGGATGCGGGGACTTGGGAAGCTGGGTTAACGGGGATACCTGACCCGCCCGCGCCCTGACGGTGGATGCCTCCTAGACCTGCTGCCATGGGACGCGTAATCCGTGGGCAGAGGAAGGGAGCCGGCTCCGTGTTCCGTGCGCACGTGAAGCATCGTAAAGGAGCTGCGCGGCTGCGCGCCGTGGACTTTGCTGAGCGGCACGGCTATATCAAGGGTATTGTGAAGGTACGGGGAGCCGGGCGGAAACGGGGCGGGGGGAGAGGCCGCTCAGGACTCGACGCTCACGCCGTCTCGACTCGCAGGACATCATCCACGACCCCGGCCGTGGCGCGCCCCTCGCTAAGGTGGTCTTCCGGGACCCGTACCGGTTCAAGAAGCGTACAGAGCTGTTCATCGCAGCTGAGGGCATACATACGGGCCAGTTCGTGTACTGCGGCAAGAAGGGTGAGTGGAGTCTGCCAAGGAAAAAGGGATTTGGAGGGCTCGCCCAGGCAGGCCTCAGCTGGGAACACACCGTCTGGCCGGAAGGTAGCTAGTGTGAAAGCTGGGCTGGGTTCGTGTGGGCGAGGGTTACTGATGGTGATCACCCCCAGCCCAGCTCAACATCGGCAATGTTCTCCCCGTCGGGACCATGCCTGAGGGTACCATCGTGTGCTGCCTGGAAGAGAAGCCTGGGGACCGGGGCAAGCTGGCTCGGGCCTCCGGGAACTACGCCACAGTGATTTCCCACAACCCCGAGACCAAGAAGACCCGTGTGAAGCTGCCCTCCGGTTCCAAGAAGGTCATCTCCTCCGCCAACAGAGCCGTGGTTGGTGAGTGTCGGGCAGGGAGTCCCACTGCCTGTTTTGTGAGTTCCTGTGCCCTAAGTGGTTTCAGAGGTCTTTCTAAGATGGTTCAGCTGACTTAGGGTTGAGAGTGGTTAAGTTTGTCAGGCAGCGGGCATCTGCACTCGGGTGTGACCTGGACTGGTGGGAATCCTACAGTTTCATTCAATTGAAGAAGAGGTTTTTATTAAAAGAATCAGGTATTTTGTCCAAAGCCATATAATATTAAGCCGGAGGAAGGATTTGAACCTAGGTGTTTCTGGTCACTTTACTGCTTGGCAGCCTCTGCCCAGTTATCCCTGCTCAGAGCCCATGGACTGTGTTGTGGTAGCTGTCCCGAGAAGATGGTGTTGGGGGACAAATGACATGCTTATGAAGGGGATTGCTAAGAATGAAAACGTAACGGGAAAACCTGAAAAGCTCTCTTGGTATGCTCGACAATGCAAACGAGGGCCTGTTAGGATCATGAGCTTGAAGAAATTTGTCGGTCATAGCCCAAGGTGCAAGGAGATTCTTGGGACAGAAGGGCGGGGGCGGACTTCCTCCTTGGTACTTGTATCTCAGCTGTGTGTGACATTGTACAAAGAGGGTGATTAATACAGGAGCTGGGCACCTGTTCTGGGGAAGGCTCTGGCGCATGATATGTGTCCCTGAAGTATCTAATTTCCACCAGGTGTGGTGGCTGGGGGTGGCCGCATTGACAAGCCCATCCTGAAGGCTGGTCGTGCCTACCACAAATACAAAGCCAAGAGAAACTGCTGGCCTCGTGTGCGGGGTGTGGCCATGAACGTGAGTAGCCAGAAAGTCGGGCTTGAGGGGCCAAGAGGCTGGGTGGATGGTCCCAGGAGCATTCCAGTACCACTGAAGGGCTTTGTAATCTTAGGCCTACCTTGGCAGATAGACCACCCACACTAACACTGTTGTCATCTTTCTGCAGCCTGTGGAGCATCCCTTCGGAGGTGGTAATCACCAACACATCGGGAAACCCTCCACTATCCGCAGGGATGCCCCTGCTGGCCGAAAAGTTGGTCTCATTGCTGCTCGCCGTACTGGGCGGCTCCGGGGAACCAAGACTGTACAGGAGAAGGAGAACTAGAGCTGCGAGCTCAATAAAGCTTTTCCCACCATGTGCCTGTGATTTCAGTGAAGGGTCTTTCCGGACAGGACCCTGTTCTAGGTTGGGACACAGTATCATAACGATGCAGTTTAAGTACCAGTGAATGGTGGGAACATTGTAAAAGGATGGGTGTCCTGGGGCTGGAGACCAGGTTTGGGAATAAACTCTTGGCGTTTTGTCCTCCTGGGATGCAAGTGAGGAAACAACTTGGATTTGAGCCGCAATCTCTATACTTACTGAGTCTCCCATTGGCTGCTTTGTGTCCAGGACCACCTAGTTATAACATTCACCTGTCCAGGTACCCTTGGGGGTGTTACTGGCTTGTAGATGCCAATGTGGCAGTGTCTTGGGCCCATGACTGGTCTGAGCACTGGGAGTTGGTCCTAGGGGGTTTTGAGGGGAGACTCTGTATAGTGAGGCTCTGAGAAGGAAGACTACAGCTAGGAATGCATTACATCACCTCGCAGTTAAGTAGGTCCAACTTTGAATGTGGCAGGGGTAAGGAGCCTATGCTCTGGGTACCTTAATTTTGGGTCAGACTACCAACTCTGCTTCTCACACCCAGCAGGAAAAAATGGGGTTCCATTTGGTGGTTTGGGGCCTTGCTGTGTGTCTGGGCAATAGCTTGGGGTGGCACGGCCTTTGTGGTCTTTACTCTCCAGAACCCCATCACAATGTCCAGACCCCCCTGAGTTTCATGGAGGACTCTGGAAAGGCTTAGGTGTACACAGCTGACATGAAAGGATGGCCTTCTGCTTGGACCACCCCACCTGGCCCCACCACCATCCATATTGAGTCTTCATTAGCACTTGGGCTCAGCTGTGAGTTTTCTCACCTGTAAACAAGACTGGCTCCACTCCACTATACATGTCTTGTGTCTTAAGAGTTGACACCTGGAACCCCAACCCCCACACTGGCAAATACCTGCCCAGTGCTCACTCACCCTGGAGTGAAGGTAAAGGGGAGGCTGTGGGCTGAATACCATGACCCAAGTCACTTGACATATCTGCCAAGGAGATTGGCTAGTCAAGGGTGTATACTGTTTAGCAAGCAGGAGGATGGGGAAGAAATTCAGATTGAGATGCCCACTGGAGCTCCCCATGGCCTCTTAGAGCTAATGCTCTTAACTGACCACATTGGGTCTTTGTTACAGGTTTCTGAGACTAAATCTATGAGGGACCAGAAAGCATCTTTCTCCAGCTTGTGAAGGGTATGGGGTTCTAATGGCAGTGGCCATCCCTCCCTGAGCTTTGTAACGAGTGAATCTAAAGTTTGTCCCTGTCCCAAGGGCCTGTGTGGCCCTGCCAGTATGGTTGCCACTCATGGTCCGTGCCCACCTCACCCCCATTTCTTGGTCTCTGGAATGGCCCTCTGCCCTTGGACACCTCACAGTACCCAAGTGGTGAATCCAACAGGACTGGGCCCTTGTCCTAGTACCCTAAGCTCACCAGATCACATTTACACCATGAAGGTTGGGTGTAGCTAAGGCAGATGTAGCAACTTTTCTCCCAAGGACAGGGACATCTGGAAGGAGGGTGAAATGGTTGCCTCGGCCAGGGCAGATAACCCAACTGTTGACTATAGATTAATAAGCAAAAGTAAGCCTGTGTCTACCTTGCTTATTGGATGATCTTAACGCTGACCGTGGCCATGAGTTTTTCCGTGCTTTTCTGCTCCCTCTGGGTAAAGTAGGTAGGGGCTTTGGCCAAGGTCTGTGTCTGGAAAGATTGGCTCCCGAAGAGTGTGGACTGAATGCAGTAGACGATACAAACCTTGGAAGCATCTGCCTAGCATTTATTAGTGATGTTTTTTTCCCTTTAGGTATAAAACTCATGTGCACTCTCACTAGGGTTAACAAATTGGTCTGGGTCAGTGCTGTTGAGACTTCTCCAAGCAGGGGCCCAGTGGCTGGATTCATGGGCACTGGAAAGACGCTAGCTGCTCATGCAAGTTCTGACTCTGGAGGCAAGACAGCCTGGATTGGGCCTGAGTTCTTGAGGGTGGACAAGGCCTTTCCCTGTGACTTCTCCAGAGTGGGCATTGGGCCCACTTACAGGGGTTGGAACAATGGGCTGTCTTAAAACAGGCTTCTGTGACAAGAAGCGCTGGTAGTGTAGTGGTCACCATTGGACTGCTAACCACAAGGTCAGCAGTTTGAATCTACTCGTAAAGATTAACTGCCTCAGAAACCGTACACAAGGTCGCTATGAGTCAGGAGTCCCGGTGTAGCGCTGTAGGATAAGCACTCGACCCTAACCATAAGGTTAGCGGTTCAAACACACCAGCCGCTCTTGGAAATCCCGTGCAGCATCGCTATCATTCGGAACCCACTCGACAGCACTTAGCCACCACTCGATGATACACCCCTACCGCTTGACCAGTAAGTGTCCTCTAACTTCCTGCCCAGGACCAGCCACAGCTTAGCTGCTCATACGGGAGAGATTTTCTTAGAAAAAGAGAATTACTGTAACCTGTGGTCACCAAAGCCTTTGACCATAGTCTCCGCTCTGGGAACTCAGGGTCCTAGCTCTAGATACCAGTCACGATTTACAGCGTTGCCCTTTACGGTTCTCGGAGAAGCTACAGTGTACCAGAACCGCCCACCACCAGGACTCGGGGTCCGCAGTCTGGACGGGGGCGGGGCTAAGCGTGTGCGTCACTTCCGACTCGGTTTCGATTGGCGGGGCAGGAGGGGCCTGGTCCGGCGGCCGCTCCTCTGCGGCTCTGAGGTAAGTATGGGCCCGACGGGGCGGTGCTGGCCACGGGGCCTCTCGGGATCTTTCTCTGGCTCCAGAGTTGGCCCCACGGCCCCGGTCATTCTTCACAGCATCTCTGCCCCGCTTCAGCGACTCTTCTGCAGATCCCATGCCCCACTCTGGGGTCCCCCTCAACCGATCCCATGTCTTCCTCCGGTCTCCTCACCAGGATGCCCCAGACCCTCTTCCTGTTGCCTAGCGATCCGAGGCCCTCCCAAGCTCCCCCAACCCTAAAAGCCCAGTCGCAAACTGGACGGGCCCAGGATCAGTTGTGGTCCTTTGCCCACTCCCACCCACCACCTAGGTTCCTCCGCTCGATTCTTCCTGTGTGGGGCGGAGGGTTACCTGGGGGCTCAGCGGGTCCTTGACGACAGTTGGGGCACAAGTTGGGGCCCCGCTTTCATGGTCCTCCCACTTGCCCCCTCCGGCCCTGCCCCCCTTCTTGTCTTTAGCTGCTAGCTCTCCCCAAACACAGCCCACCAAGAAGCAGCCCAAGGTTTGAGTATTTGAGAGTCCTTTTTTTCAAGGTCTGAAACTTTTTGTTTGGTCCTCGGTCCTGTGTCGTTGTTGTTTTTTTAAATATTGAAAATATATACAGAGGGAGTTTAAAAAGTTCACGGAAAATTTCCATTATCTCTTAATTCCGTTTTCCACAATTTTTCCCCCCACAAACTTTTTGAAATCCTATATGTATATGTAGAGTCCTGGTGTGGCGCTGTGGGTTAATGCGCCAGACTGCAAAGCCGTTTAAACTGCAAGGTCGGCAGTTCAAGCTCACCAACAGATCCTCGGAAACCCTATACATGGTCGCTATGGGTCGGAACCGACTCTAAGGCACTTCACAACAACATACGTATATGTTGTTAAGTGCTGTTGAGTTGGTTCCAATTCATAGGAACCCTGTATATGGTTTCCAAGGAGCGGCTGGTGAGCTTGAACCGCTGACGTTGTGGTTCAAACCGACCTTGCAGTCCAGCGCATTAACCCGCAGCGCCACTCGAGGACACTCTCTTCTATGGGGTCCTGGTGTGGCGCCACAGGATAATGCGCTGATTGCTGTACTATCAGGTCAGTTTGAGCTCAAGATTGGCGGTTCAAACCCACCAGCTGCTCCTTGGAAACCCGATACAGGGTAGCTAATAATGGAAACTCGACGGCACTGTTGTGTGTGTATATACACACACACACATACACACATATATATGTACACACACATATGTATACACACACATATATATGTTTGTTGTTGTTGTTGTTGTTATGTGCCATCGAGTCGTTTCCGACCCATATAGCGACCCTGTATAGGGTTTCCGAGGGTGTAAATCTTTACGGGAGTAGAAAGCCTCATCTTTCTCCCGCGGTGCAGCTGGTAGTTTCGAACCACGGATCTTAAGGTTTGCAGCCCGATTCGTAACCACTACGCTACCAGAGCTCCTTACACATATACATGTATATGTATATACATATACATATATATGTATATACATGTAAACACACATATGTATACACACATATATGTATATATATATGTACACACACATATATGTATATATATATATACACACATATGTATACACACATATATGTATATATATGTATACACACATATATGTATACACACACACACATAAGGAGCTCTGGCACCGCAGTGGTTACGAATCAGGCTGCTAACCTCAGGATCAGCAGTTCGAAACTACCAGCTGTTCCTCGGGACAAAGATGAGGCTTTCTGCTCCCGTTAAGATTTACAGCCTTGGAAACCCTGTACAGGGTCACTGTGAGTCGGAACCGACTCCACGGCAAACAACAACAACATATAATATATATAGTGAGAGAGTCAGAGTTCCGGTGCGCTGTGAACTTAATGCGCTGGACTGCAAAGTCGGTTTGAACCTCAAGATCGGCGGTTCAAGCTCACCAGCTGCTCCTTGGAAACGCTATACAGTGTCACTATAGGTCGGAACCAACACGATGGTACTCAACAACAACAACGTGTGTGTGTGTGTGTGTGTGTGTGTGTGTGTGTGTGTGTAGAGAGACCTGTGTGGCGCTGCTGGTTAATGCGTTGGACTGCAAGGTTTTTAGGAGTGCAAGGTTGGTGATTCACGCTCACCAGCCGCTCCTTGGAAACGCGGTCCAGGGTCGCTATGAGTCAGAACCAAATTGACGGCACTTATAGCAGCAACAACAACATATGTGTATCCACATATAGACCTGGTGGGGAGCTGTAGAATAAACACTGG